TGATAAGGTAATAAGGATTAGGGAGTAATATTGGGGCCCAAAACTTGGTGTGTGTTAATTAGTCACACTTACGGACATTAATCTCAAACATCACTAGTTATTTTTATGTTCAATCTGAATCATGGATCATCACAAGAAAATGGATCATCATAAAGAAAACGAAAATCCATATATATCTTTCATAATTTATGGATCATATATGGTATTTGATTTGATTTAAACTGACAACCACATATCAAAAACATAACTATCAACACTATCAACACCTAATTAAGATCCTCCACCCTTGACATGGGCTAAATAAATATTTTGATGATCTAGCTAACTTTAGTCACCCTCGTACAGTATAAAATTTCATAGTGGTGCATAATCAAAATTTTGATACCACTTTCCACGGATGGTATAATCATCAGAATCAAATCAATCAAAAAATGTTTAGCTTTTTTATCCTATAACTTTCTATTTGAATTCGTCACTTTGTCTAATTCTTTCAATTATATATGAGACTAATACCCAACAATATCTAATTTTCTAAAATGACAGAAATTAACTTTAAAAATAAATTGAAATAATTTATTTAGCGCGCCGCAAATCATATAGTACTAACAACCAACACTGAGTTCCTTTATAACACATGTCACCGATACCCTACACTATACAAACACACTTCCTCTTGCCCACTACTCTTTCAACCTCTATATAAAACCCCCCAGAGCCTCCTCTCTCTTCATCACATAACACCTCTCTTCTTCTTCTTCTTTCTTCCATGGTGACCATGAATAGGGTTGCTTGGTTGGTGGTGGCGGTTTTGTGTTGTTTGAGGAATGGAGCGGTGGAGGGATTTCACGCTGTATACGAGGAACTCATGTCGGTTCCGGCCGCGGTCGTCGATAACCAGTATAGGACTGTCTTCCATTTTCAGCCTCCAAGGAATTGGATCAATGGTAACTCTACAAAACTCCTCTCTCTAGTTGTCTCCATCCATTTTAAGGGAATATTTTTTTCACTTTTGAGAACGACAACATGTATATATGTGTCCTAAGCCATTAAAGGGATAGTTGAAATAACAAATTCATGTTATATGTCATGTTTGTACGCTGCTGCTGTTCTAACAAAGTTTATACTCATATATCATATATCATGTGCTCTAATAAATTAGAACCCTTTCAGTTTGGAAATTTTTAAATCACAGTCATTCATTTATTTATATGATACTTATGATTTATTAGGAATATAACACATTAACACACTCATTCATGTCATGAATTATAAATAAATATTCACTAAATAACAAATGATTCTACTTTAAGAGGCGAACTATTGATTATTTCCATATTCTATATATATATATTATCTCCATCATTTTGTGAGGAAAAAATTAAGATATTTATGCATGTTTAGGAGTTTGCATAAAAGTTGTTTATGCATTGAAATTGATTCATAATTAATAACGATGGTGGAGCACTAGTTGTCATATGACATATATAGCCTCACTGGCTCTCATTGTGGGGCGCACGGTAGTGAAAGCAGTATAATTTTCGCTAAAGGTGGCCGGTCGATCCGCGCATGGTCAAATTCTTCCGTTTACCGCGGGGATTGTGGTGACGGTTTATCCTCTCCTCGATTCACGTAATTCCTGCGCAGTGGTCGTTTGCTACCGTGCGCTGTCGACTTTTGTTTACTTTGCACAAATTATCCTTATGTTTTTTCTTTTCCTTTTAATTAACATATGCGTACTTGATATTCGCCTTCCTGGGATGCTTGCCAAGGTTTCAGAAATTTTTTTGGTCCTATTTATTGAAAGAAAAAGAAGAAATTTTAGGAGTAATAATTTTATCTCAGAATAATTAATAAGCCTATGCTACTGATGTTCAATTATAACACCAACTCCTATTCTTCTTCAATTATGGTATACATGAAGCTATTCCAAAATTTGCGCATATTTTTTATGTTATCAACTCAGAGATTGATATATATACGTTCTTTTTATTTTTATTTTTATTGTTTCTTCCTTGGAAATTAGTAACATGCATGATTAGTGTATATTTTCATTTAATATTTACTTAGTTTTTAAACATTTGCTACAACAAGAAAGAGTCACTATACATAGTTCATCTCTCGCATTTTCTTTAAACAGATTTGAATCTTAATGATATATTTTTTTTTATGTTTTTTATTTTATTTTTTTATTTTATTTTTGTGCCCTAATATAGTCTTTTATTATAATGCAGTTATGCAAACTGCTATAGGTCTGCAAGCAAGATTAGAACCTAGGAGTTAGGTCATATCAACTCCAAAATAAAAAGTATACCGTGAAAAATAAAAATAAAACGATGTTAATTATCCTATACGCACACAATTTTTGGGTGGCTGCGGGTCCCACGATCCACTGAAAAACTGCGACCAAAAGCTTTGTAAATCCTACTGCCAGTGTCACATTAGAATTATAGACCACGTAAAGTGGACCGTTATCACACACCTTTTTATTCTTTTGGCCAAAAAGGATCGGTGTCAATTTATTCTCAGAATTTCGTTAGGTATATTCAAGTCTCCAGAGTTTTATTAATACGTACGGATTTTGTTGAAACGACTTTAAAATAAAAAGCAAGATAATATCTTTCCTTTCAACTTAATTATTTACGTTTACTAATACTTTATTGATTTATATAGTTCACTAACTAGAGCTCAGTGCTAACATGTATCTTTTTTTTTTTTTGGTACCATGATCAATTTCGGCCGTATCCTTGGCATTGAATACAACGATCAGATCCAAATGGTATCATTCCTAACTCTAATTAATCTTATTTAGCACTGCAATTGATAGATTGATTATTATTTATTCTAAACTTTATTTTATTTGCCGATCAAAATTAGGACCAATGTACTACAATGGCATATACCACTTCTTCTACCAATACAATCCATACGGAGCCGTATGGGGCAACATTGTGTGGGGCCATTCCGTCTCAACGGACTTAATTAACTGGATAGCGGTCGAACCTGCTTTGTACCCGTCTAAGCCCTTCGACGTTAACGGGTGCTGGTCTGGATCCGCTACCATCCTACCGGGTAACAAACCCGTTATCCTATACACGGGTGTCGACCCGAAAAACCGCCAAGTTCAGAACATCGCTTTCCCTAAGAATTTATCCGATCCGTATCTCCGTGAATGGGTCAAGCCCGATTACAACCCGATAATGGATCCGGATAGCGGGGTCAACGCTAGTGCGTTCCGCGACCCAACAACAGCCTGGTACGGGTCAGACGGGCATTGGAGGCTAGTAGTCGGTAGCAAAAGAAAGCATAGAGGTTTGGCTATTATGTACCGCAGCAAGGACTTCATACATTGGATCAAGGCGAAGCACCCGTTACACTCCGCTAACGGAACGGGCATGTGGGAGTGTCCGGATTTCTACCCGGTATCGATGGAGGGTAAATTAGGCGTAGATACGGCAGAATACGGTAACGGGTTGAAGTATGTGCTTAAAAACAGTTTGGATGTGACCCGATACGAGTATTATACGCTCGGTACCTATTTACGGGATATTGATAGGTATATACCGGACGGTACATCTGCGGACGACGGGTCGGGTTTAAGGTATGACTACGGCAATTTCTACGCTTCGAAGACGTTTTATGATGAAGGGAAAAAGAGGAGGATTCTGTGGGGTTGGTCGAATGAGTCGGATAGTAGCTTAGATGACGTGGGCAAGGGTTGGGCTGGGATTGAGGTTAGTCGTTATATATATTGACTCGGTTCAATTTCAACCTGCTACGTAACAATTCTTCATCCTTTTTTTTAATTAACCGGTTTTTTTTATTCTATTTTTTTTTTAAGGCAATTCCTAGAGCAGTTTGGCTTGATACAAATGGAAGGCAACTCATTCAATGGCCAGTCGAGGAGATTGAGACTCTTAGAGGGAAGCAAGTTTCAGTTATGAACAAGAACGTTAAGAGTGGAGAAGTTGTTGAAGTCTCTGGAATAATGACGTCACAGGTAAGGATTTCAAACTTTTCCTTTTTATAGGGTTAACTACAGATATACCCTCTTAATTGCTAAAAAATGAAAAATAAGAAAGCATATATATGATAAATTCCAAGCGGTCTGACCTCGTCATGTACTTGCATAGAGTGCGAGATTCGTGCATAGGGTTGCCTCTTATTTTAAGTACTAATCAACCACAATATTACAGAAGATTAGTTACTCATCATCCCTAATTTTTATTTAGTATTTAAATCCTAATATCCAAATAGAGTTATCTTCTCGATATATGTACCTATACTCATGGAGTTCATGTGTTCAACACTTGTAACTTTATAGAGGGGCTCTCTGCAACACAATAAAATATTTGAAAGAATAACTCCGCGGTGAATGTCGCCAGGTCCAAGTGTTAATAAAAAGTTGAAATACTATAGTACAAAATTGACTAAGCAATTAACCCTTCTCTAACATTTTTGCAACATGCAGGCTGATGTGGAGGTGACATTTCAATTGTCAACCCTAGATAAGATTGAGCCATTTGATTCAATGTGGACTGACCCACAAAAGCTTTGTGAGCAAAAAGGTGCAGATGTTACGGGTGGGGTTGGGCCCTTTGGGCTCCTGGCCTTGGCCTCAGCTAACAGAGAGGAGCAGACTGCTGTATTCTTCAGGCTCTACAGTTCTCCCAAGGGTTATATCGGCCTTATGTGCCATGATCCATCGAGGTCTCAATCTCTTCTCCTTCCTCAATCTATCTATAACTCCAATTTGTTTATGTAGACAGTCAGGTAGTTATATCAACGTGATAGGCCACAGCTCACTTGGTAAAGAGACAGAGATTATGAGAAATTAAACTTAGATTTAAACACAAACTGCGTACACACGTTTAAGCTTACAACTCGATTTATTAGTATCTTTTCCATTAAGGGTCTGTTTGGTTATTTCCTAAAAACCAAGAAATGAAAAATGAAAAAGTGGAAATCTCAAAAAGTACAATTTCATCCATTTTCATCCCTAAAACTCACCCACAACATCGAATAAAATATTATTTTCATCCAACAACTCATTTATAACATCTAATAAAAAAAACATTTTTATCAAGCAACTCATCCACCACTACATCTAATAAAATATTATTTTTACCCAACAACTCATCCATCACATCTAATAAAATATTATTCCATCCACAACATCACTCAACTCATCTCATCTCATCATTTCAAATCACTCACATCATCCAATAAAATGGTGACAAGTCATCTCATCTCATTAACATTATTTCCACCTATTTTCTCCCAAGAAGCTAGGAAAACGATTTCCTTAAGTGTGGGTCACACCATCCAATAATATAATGACAACTCATCTCATCTCATCTATTTTCTTATTTTTAAGAATGAACCAAACAAAAGAAAACAACCTATTACAAGAAATAGGATTCTTACAATTCATTTCCTTATTTTTTTCGCCAACCAAACAACATCAAAACAATTTTTCTCAAAAAATCACTCACATCATCCTATAATAAGGTGACAACTAACATCATCTCATCTCTATTTCTTTGATTTCCTTCTTTTTTTTTTAGCCAACCAAGCATTTCTAAAATAATTTTTCTTAGAAATAGTTTTCCATTTCTTTGATTTCCCTCTTTTTTTTAGGCAAACAAACAGCCCCTAAGTGGAACGTACAAAATAATTTATCATCATCACGTGATTGCCATCTGTCACACGATATATAAAACCAAATATGAAGAGATAATATCGTCTGGACTTCAAGAAGCAAATGAATCTATTTTATTGAATCATAGGAGCAAATGAATATATTTTATTGAATCATATCCATCGATATGGCAGATGCATTAAAGCTTCAAAATCTTATTGGGATGTTTAATTATTTGATCATGATATATATACTTGTTTTCCTGAATGGGAAACAGGTCCACGGTGAGGCCAGGACTATACAAACCAACCTTCGGAGGATGGGTTGACGTCGACATCAAGAAAAATGGGATGCTCTCTCTGAGGAGTCTGGTACTTCAATTTCATCCATCAGTCATAAAATCATATAGATCTTTTTTTTTTTCTTTCGAACACTAATTTAGTTAATATAATATATTATACAGATCGATCGCTCCGTCGTGGAGAGCTTTGGAGCTGAGGGTCGAACATGCATCACATCTAGGGTGTATCCGAGCGTTGCGGTTGATGGTGATGCTCATCTCTTTGTGTTCAATAACGGAGCAGAAGACGTGAAGATTTCAGAGCTCAAGGCATGGGAGATGATGAAGCCTTCGATGAACGGGATATGATGTTGAAATTGAGGGCCTTTGAATTTGAGTTGTGTGCTGGTTTGGTTTTTGGTTTTATGACCATTGAGCAACAATAAAAATACTGTGATCCTTCTTTTACTATAATAAATAAAATAATGGAATGTTTTCACCTTCGTTTTTGGATGTCAATGCAAATGCTAGAAATACCCTTCTCTATAGGTTCTTGTTACTTTGCATATAATTGAAGATGTAACTTCGGGGGTATTTGATGCAATGCAAGGTGTTGTACCCTAAAAGTCACAAGTATAATAAACTCTCGAGAACTGGCTACGAGTCGGTCAAATAGGTCAGGTTGTATGAGAGGAAACTCGATCCGAGTGTAGTTATAGCATGACCAAACTAACCGACTTTTTATGCAGTCTGCACTCGAGTCGAAAGGCATCTTCTGATCGAACACTACTGGAGAGTATCCGTCAAGAGGCAAGGGAATGAATGTTTGGCTGCCTCGTTAGCAACACCCGCCTTTAATGCATAGTAAGGCCTCATGATGACTACTCGGAGGGCACCCTTAAGGAAATCTCATCCGAGGACTCTAAAGTTTGTTTCCTCCTTTTCCAACCTGATCGCTCAACAGAGGAGATTACAGACCCCTAATCGCCCCCACTCAATTCCTAGATTATCATTCTGACGTAAACACAAGGAAGTTTAAAAGTTGACATCAAAACAATTTAGATCCAATCGCTACCATACCAATACCAAAAGGGGCATACGAAAGATACCGATGAGCAAAATAGTCCAGGCTTCGCCCAAAATTGAACCTCGAACTGCTTATAATCCTCAACTTGCATCAAAACTCCAATAGCTTTTTTTGTCTGAGTTTTATGATAGCCCCAGTCTCTTTATGCAACAAAGCCACTGTTAAATCCTCGCAAATTGCAGCGGACATTGAGCCGCACATCCTGGAGAACTCCATTAGAAACATCTCTGGCTATAGTTGGAACCCAGCATAGCGGTCTTACATAGGAACCATTTCAAATATTTTGAACTTGGATTTAGATATCAAGAGATCTGATAATAATATTGATTTTAAATCCAGTAAACCACGAGGGCACTTAACATAAACTCCAAAAAACAACATTTGTTTCAATAAATAAAAAAACTCCCAATAGGTATCCGCTCACACGCCCAACTCAAAACGGCAATTGCAGATGAACAACTTCTCACAATTTTTCAGAGCCAAAGTCATGTCACTAAACCCGAAACATCGACTGGGGCAAAATCTGTTGGAAACTATAAAAATGGCATGAGCCTTGCTGCGCTTTCTGGAAAGGATTGGCAACAGAAGAAATTACAGCCGCCTCCCTCTTCTACCACCCTTTCTTCGGGTACTATCCGTTGGGATGGGAGTCACATCCTCTGCAGAGACAAAAGAAAGTAACGAGTCAAGTGTACAATATATGTTTTTTATTTACAATATGATTTGCAACAGGATTACATAATTTGTGTCTACAAGGCATCAAGCATTTATCTTGATGGAGTGCCTCATAACCTAGATTTAAGCTGTAAAGGAGCATAAAGTACAGGTTGTTGGACATACACCTCAACCCATTTACTATTGAGTATAGCCTTTTACACCTTCTGGACTCTTTTATTAGCACTTGCACTTTTTATTCTCCATTTAACTGGAAACAACAAAGACTTAATTTCCCTCTAAAATGAGGGCACAAAAGTAGAGACATCCAAGGTTTGACGGAAGTAAGAGCAAAAATAAAAAAATTATGTGTATATTTGGCTGCATTCCCATAGTTCAGAGGTTTAATTAAACCTAACAAAAAACTGATAGAAATGACGCGTATCAAGCATTCGATTCTCAGAGTCAGATATCATATAAATTTTTGTTTTCAGCCATCGTGGAGCTCCATATCAGGTTTACCCAAAATGTAGCTCTATAAAGAGCACACGAGAGCAATAAAACTCGATCTCACAAGGGAAGCACTTCAGGAAATATAAGCAATAAACGGCTCAAGGAAAGAAAGAAACAAGCCTTACCAATGCGGCCAACTTTCATTCCAGAGCGAGCAAGAGCTCTAAGGGCTGATTGAGCACCGGGACCAGGTGTCTTCGTCTTATTTCCACCAGTAGCCCTAAGCTTAATGTGCAGAGCAGTGATCCCAAGTTCCTACACACACAGACACACAAAAAGAGCTACAATGTTACGACGAGTTATGCATAAGGCAAAGCAATACAGTTGAAGGTTAGCTTACCTTGCATCTTTGTGCAACATCTTGTGCGGCAAGCATGGCTGCGTAAGGAGATGATTCATCCCTATCAGCTTTCACCTTCATGCCTCCTGTAACCATAGTTAGAAATTTACCAAAAATCTTGCACAAAGAATACATAAATAGCAAAGGAAACGAAAAATAATAACATAAAACAAATAAAGATTGTTCTCAGTTCTTCATATATAAAATTTCGTAGGCATCCAATTTCGAAAATAACGAATTTATACTTCTTCCTATTTTTTTAATGTGGAAGTTAAGTGTACTACACACTAAACAAGAATATTATGTATTAGTGACCAAGCAGGTGCCAGGAGTTATTTATTACAATATATCTCCCTTATGGTTGTGAAATAAAACTGCGTAGATATCCCAATATAAACTGTTCAGTCAGAAGTAAGGTGGCAAAGGGCTGAGATTAGTCTGAATTTGAAAGTATTTATTCAGAAATTCTTTGCAAAACCTATCCACATCAACCATCTGCAGATTGGACGAATTTTCGAAGGATATTTTCTTAGAAAAAAGACATCTTCCTAGAAACTAACTATATTTCCAATTGCAACTCCCATCTTTCTCATCCATAAGCAAAGATATCATGATTGGTTTGACTTCAACCGATGTGTTTTAATAACAAGACCACAAAGCTGCATCTTACTTGCATAAAGAATGTCTTTTTTTAGGATTAGCCTGCATCAGCTAAAATAACAACTGAAAAATATAGTTTCAAGTATTCCGCCTGTAAAGCCACAACTCAAACATCAAAAATCAAATAGCGCTGTATAGTTCCTAAACTATGCGTACCAATCAGACACCTACTTAAATTAAATGCATTAGTAGGTATCTTCACCTAATAGTAAAATGAAACACAGATGTTGGCATGACATGAGATACAACTGGAAAAGACAAAAATAGAAACATTTTCCACCTACATTAGAGAAAGCTTCATATGAATCAGCAAGAGATGAGTCAAGACTTTACATTCAACAGATAGGTAAATCTGTCTATTGATAGTAATTCACAAGACTAAATATCAAATACTGATATTAAGAAGTGCCTCCAAATAATGGAAAATGGACAGAATCCCAAAGAATGACTCTTCAGACTCTGAAAATCAATATTGCGTGGCAATGACTCAAAACGCTTCCATATAATACAAGGCGATCTTGAGGGCCACGCTGAAATTCCCAAAAGATCCAAAGTAAAAAATATGTTTTTTCTTAATTTAATTATGCAAAAATTATGAAACAAGAACTCAAAAAAAAGGAAATAGTTAACGTCTTCAGTTATCTTTGATAATTGTTAAAAGCAAAACCTCCAAGTTAAAATCAAATATTTTGTCTTGGTTAATTATGATCACAATTGTTATCCACTCCTTGACAAATTGCAGTACAAATCCCCTGCCTTTGTACTCTTGTTCGTTTGTTCACCTTAAGCCGGTTGTATTGATTTTTACAATATACTTCAGGTCTAACATTTTTACAAATTAAGTCGAAAACATCCGTACATCTCCCATGAATACAGAGAGACACGGTCTTCTTACTATATTCCCTCTTCTTTAACACAAGATGTATTCATTTACATTCACATCCCTGCCTAAATAAATTGCAAGGAAATTTGCAGGTAACTCGTCGATACATAAGCTCTACTTTAATTCCTAGAGAGGGTACAACGAGAAGTTTTGGTTTCATACAAATAAAAGGCTAATTTGCAGATAACCCCATTCGCCAATGCCTTAAGTAACACTTATCTTGATTGCCATTTTAAGAAGAATAAATCACAGACAACCCCTCTCACCCATGGATCAAAGAGCTACTGAATGTATAGATAAGGGGGGTTATCTGCAATCTAACTTAAAACTATTACACCGATTCTGCAATTGATAAGAGACCTTGTTTACTCCATAAACAATCCAATCAACGAAGTAAATCCAGAGCAGGGCAAGAGGAATATCACACCAGTGATGCGAACGAGAGTTTCTCTCCCAGATAAATCAGTAACATGCTGCAACAAAATCAAGACCCAATCGTTGCTAAACTAGAGAAATGCCAAGCATTCGGAATACATGAGATCACAAAAAAAAAAAAAACTCACAATGAAGGTATCATTGAAGGATGCAAAGATGTGGGCAACCCCAAAAACATGTTCTCCTTCTCTAACTGCTGGCCCAAGCGTCACGTTCTCCTCTTTAGGCTCTCTCGTCTTCCTCTTCGACTGTTAACCCCCAAAGATCCAAAATAAACAAAGATCGAGCTAATTGACGACCTTGCCCACACGTAAGGTCTGGAATGCCCCTATAGCGGATACGACTCTCAATGGGCTCAACAGCCCACTGGGAATTTAACTCATATGTTTATCTAAAATTGTTACAAGTAGAAGTGGGCCCCCGACTACAGTTTTGCCGAGTGGTCGAAGGCGCCAGATTTAGGCTCTGGGCCGCAAGGGTGTGGGCTCAAATCCAACATCAGTCAAAATTATGGAAAAATATCTTTTGTTTAGAATATTATTTTCTTTAAGAGAGGCGTTACAGGCACACTCTAAGGCACACCATTAACCACACACACTCTCTCTCTCTACAGTGCAAGAGGCCCCACATGTGATTTTTTAAAAAAATCATATGTGGGGCCACCTGCACTGTAGAGAAAGAGGGAGTGTGGTTGGTAGTGTACCTTAGAGTGTGCCTCTATCATTTCTTTTTCTTTAAAATGGAATAACTTATCATGCCTTCAACGTATGAAGTACATGATCCTACATGACTGAGGGATAGTGCGGCTATGATGATGATATGTGAAAGATTAGATAGGATGACCATTTCCCTATTTTTTTTTAGATACAGAGAGGAGTGTGCATATATTTTTTTTCAATCAAAGTGCAAGCTTTTCCGGTTTGAGGCGATGTGGGTAAGGAGGTAGGAATGTGAGGAAATTATCAAAGAGACGTGAAAAAATGATGACCCAAGTTCTTCTTTTGCTATTGTTTATGACAACCTTGATAAATGTTGAGGAGGTTTGGTGGAGTGCAATTCGACATTAGTTGAAAAATGTTTAGCAGCTGATTTAAATTTTACGGGATAAAATCAAACGGTGACATGAGGGGGTGATATCAGAGGAATCTCGAGAGATGGAGAGATTATCGACTCGTCAACTAGAAGATTTACTCTCAATGGAGCAGGAGTTATGGAGGCAAAGGTTTCGGGAGGACTAGTTGAGAGGAGGAGACCGAAATACCATTTTTTTTTCATGCTTGATCCTTACAATGCCGACGACATAATTTCATAGAAAAAACCTTTAAAAAATGAACAAGGAGGGTGGTGCCGGTCAACAAAAGAGTGAAAGAGACATTTTTGGGTTATTTCAATAATATACTTAGAGCAAGGGCAGCAAGCTCTGTTCAGAACTCTCAAGGCTGACGTGGCCGCGGAAAACGGCAGCCCCCCCTCCAGCAAGCTCCTAACCGCTCCCAAGCCCCGCTCTCAACGCTGACGTGCTTCTTGAGAGCATCCGAGCTCCCAAGCGCTCCACAAATTTGTGGAGCACTTGGGAGCTCCCAACTGGCCGGAATTTAACAAAAACCCCCCAACAAGTACACAATTGCAAAACCGGAATTTAACAAAATCCAACATTTTCGTCTCAAATCGATCCGATCGGCGGCGGCGGACTTCACCTTTGCGGGCGGCTGGTCTTTACTCCGATGGGCGGCGGTGGTTGAGTCTCAGAGGCCTCGGGTTGGGGAGCCAGAGATCCGATGGGCGGCGGTGGTTGAGTCTCAAGGCCGCGGGTTGGTTTCGACGGGGGATGAAGAGGCGTGGATGTGGGGTTGGGGAGATGAAGAGGTCTGGTTTGGGGTTGGGGAGATGAAGAGGCGTGGGTTTGGGGGTTGGGGAGAAAATGAAATTCGTGGGAAGATGAAGAGGTATGGTTGGGGAGATGAAGAGTTTTTTACTGAGTTTTATTTTAATGGCTCCACATCCATAAATGAAATAAATGAGACTGAAGTGTAAAATGAACCGTTGAATGTAAAATGAACCGTTGAGTGAAAATAAGTGAAAAAATTTCTTACCGTTGAGTTAGGAAAATGACCGTTGTGGGAAAATTTTCTTGTCGTTGAACAGTAAAAAAACCTCTATAAATTCACAATTCACAATTCACAATCTACACAACTCTCTCATAAAAAAAACTATATATTTTCCTATCAAATTACAAATCTCATGGATCCCTCCCAAAACAACTACTATTCGCAACTCTATCAAATTACAAATCTCATGGATCCCTCCCAAAACAACTACTATTCGCAACTCCTTACCGGTGAAGGATCGACCTTATATTCCCAAAACAACTACTATTCGCAACTCCTTACCGGTGAAGGATCGACCTTATACTCGCCGTTCTATACAAAAATCGTAGAAGAAGGTCATCCCATCGAGTTATCGCAATCTGCAACACAACAAGTGTCATCCCAAGAAACACCGACCACAAAGAAGAAGAAGGCTTATACGCGGTCCGAAAATTAGACTGTCTACGAGGATAAGCTTCTTGTGTCTACTTGGTTGAACACGAGCCAAGACGCCATCCAAGGTACGGGGCAACACAAAGATAAGTTCTGGCACAGAGCTAACGACTACTTTATCCAATACTCCACCGATCCAACGAGCTGCACACCAAACCAAATGATGCACCGTAGGTCAACGATTCAACTGTCGGTCAACAAGTTCTGCGGGTGCATTGCTCATATTGAAGGAAGACAAAGATCTGGTACTGGAATTATTGACTAGGTAAATATTTAACTTATATGTTTTTATGTAAATATTTAACTTATATGTTTGATTATTCTAAATTTAACTCTTGTGTAGACGGTAGAAGTAAAATAATTATACAAATCCCTTTAAGTCAGAATCATAAACCTCTTCACGATCTGTGAATCGGCGGTCCACGAACCAAAGCGTTCCCGGCACAGGCAAAGTCCCACGAAAACGAGAATTGATAGACGATTTTCGTGTTTGTTTCTCAAGAGTTGTAATTTTTGATTTGTTGTGTAGAAAAAGTCTTATAAAAAGATTATTCTTTCGAATTTGTTGTAATCGAACAAAGTTATAATGAATTCCACAGCAGCGACTTTTGAACCAAACAAACTGGCGACCACAGTGGGAGTCAACGGTCTCGCTGCCGAGACCGTCGTGTCGCAGCCGATCAAGATTCCAGTTGAATCCATGGTCGAATACGAATTCGACCAGACCAAGTTTGAGGAATATCTCTCATCATCCTCTTCAAGATCTTCATTATCTCGCAAGTACAAGAGGATCTCACAATTGAGGAAGAGTTGCATGCCAAAGAAGGCACAAAATGAAGACTCTCGCTTGATTGTTGCTGAGAATTTCACTCGCAACACCTCTGCTCAAAATGGCTCTTATCTAATTGAAGAGTCATCGAATCAAAGCCCGACGACATTGACGAAAAGAGCTCGTCAGAGACAGCGTCAGCGTCGTGCTCGTCAAATAGCTAAGGCATTTGAACAAACCGACGGAGTTCGTTATTATGCGGATTTAGAGTCGAGGAAACAACAAGTGGTTCGTTCAACGCAACGACGAACTACTCACGTTTCTGCACAATTCACAACGGAGGAATGGACACTCGTCAAAAGGGCTCGTTCGACCCTCCAAGAACGTATACAAAAACGTCGTGCAAACGTTGCTCATGTCCGAATTCTCCTACAACAAAGACGAGAAAGGAGGAAGGAAACGATGACCAAAGAAACACCGAAACTTTGCCAAGTTTGGATTCCAAAATCTGGACTTATGCAAAATCAGCATTCAGAGCCCGTTAAGACTCCATACCCGCAAGGGGGTGGTTTTAGACGTGCGACTCCTGACATAACCTTTTGATCGCTCAAGGACAAAAATAAATTGTCCTGAGAATGCCAACAAGGTTTTACACCCCCAGAAGAAGACGCATTTACCAAATGATATCGTCATACCTGGGAGGTCATGCCAACAGACGATACGATTTTTTGGCAATCATGAATCGTCGAGAGATAAACTCTCGTTGTTCCTGTGCGCGACTCGTTAAAACAGCATTATCAGAATGTGACTGTTTCAAACGAGAAGTCATCCCACGAAAAGTCTCTGTATTATCGAAACCTAAGCCGAGACATTTCCGCAAAAGAAGAGCAGCTGTCCAAAATGATGAATTCCTTGAAGTCACCATCAACGTGGCTGATAGAAGAAAGTCTAAACAGCATTCAAGTGACTCAAATCCCGACTTTTCCCCGAAAGAAAAAGTCAATCCAAGAATTGCTCAAAGGATGTCTCGACTCCAATTAGGAGCTATCAGACGCAGAGACTACAAGAGAATGCAAGAAGGAATGTCCTCGGAGGATGAATTCTCGGACACTTATTCTGCAATCGCTTCTGATGATACAATGTCTAGCACAGGACAAATCAGAGAAGTATTCACAATCACTGCTGATCAGTTCACTCAAATACTTCAGGAAGCTCTAGCCAAACAACGTGAAGAAATTAGAGCTGAAGTGAAGACAGAAATGAAGTTGGCTATCCAACAAATGAGAGAACTGTTAACTCAACAGCCTCAACCTCCTGAGTCCAATCAGCAATTTGAATCCAGCCACCACACTCGGAATGTTGTAGAGGACAGTGATCCAGAGGTGGATGAAGTCATTATGGCTGATACACCTCCCAATGACAATAACGCTGGGGGTGGTTTAACGGATCCTCCCAATAACGATATTGGGGGTGGTTCAATAGCACCTCTCACTGGGGGTGGTCCAATTATCTTTACTCGACATCATTCAGAAAGAAATGAAGACGATGACGGGAAAATGCAAAAACTTGAAGACAAAATCAATGCTTTGATGACGGCTCAAGAAGTTAAGAAGACGGGTATTCCATGTCCTTATCCGAGGGAATGGGATTCAATACCATACCCGACCAAATTCAATCTGATTAACTTCACACCGTTTGAAGGGAAGAGTTCGCCGATTCAACACTTGATTTATTTCAAGTCTCATTTGGGCATAATCTCTGGAAACGAGGCCTTAATGATCCGGTCATTCGTTGGCACCCTTCGTGGGCCCGCCTTCGATTGGTACCGACGGCTCAAGCCAGGGAGCATCAATTGCTGGGATGACATGGAAAGTTTGTTCCTCAGCAACTTCTTCGATGATGACACCGAAGTGTCAATCGGAACTCTTTTGGATGAGAAGCAAAAAGACGGAGAGTCAG